GTCGCATCGCTCATTCCCACACCGCGCTGCCACTTCCTCATGACTTCATACACCCCCTTCTCTGGCGAGAACGTAGAGCAGGCCAAGACGGTTCGCAAGACAACCGTCTTGGACGTCATGAGACGACTGTTGCAGCCTAAGAACCGCATGGTCTCCACCAACCCCACCAAGAAGAGCTGCTACATGTCTATCCTGAACATCATCCAGGGAGAAGCGGATCCCTCAGATGTATGTTCCTTCCTGTTGACCGCTTGAATCTAGCTCACTGACTATTCAGGTACACAAATCGCTTATGCGCATTCGCGAACGACGTCTCGCTACCTTTATACCCTGGGGCCCCGCTTCCATTCAAGTCGCGCTGACCAAGAAGTCGCCCTACGTGACCTCTTCGCACCGCGTCTCCGGACTCATGCTCGCAAATCACACGGGTATCGCCACGCTCTTCAAGCGCATAGTCGCACAATACTCCACCCTCCGTAAACGCAACGCCTTCCTTGAAAGCTACAAGCGTGAAGTGCCCTTCAAGGATGGTCTCGGCGAGTTCGACGAAGCTAAGGAAGTCGTTCAGGGTCTGATTGCAGAATACGAAGAGGCCGAGGATGCCGATTACTTGACCAAAGAGACGGCGCCCCCTGCAGACGAGGAAGCTGACAAGAGAGTCGGCTAGAAGTCACCTGAGCAATTATTGGATTTGGCATCGGCGTCATTGGATGGTTCAGTGGAGTCAAGGGTACCCGACTTTCAAGTCTATTTCGCGGCGTTGGCGGACATGCAACGTAGGCTACAGACCTACCGTGATTCTGAAATTTATCATCTTCCACATTCTTCGAATCGTCGTACCGATTGTGGTCATCATGGTGGAAGATATCACGGCTCTTGCTAGTTCTGTAAGGGCGGACTGATTTGAAGAGAACGCCAGGAGTTTGTATGGTAGCGAGCGCAAGATAATCGATCCATTGAGGTCTACCACGGATCGCTAATTCAAGAAACCAATCCACTGACTGTGTGGTTGTAGGCATGTAGCAGATTCACCGTGGTACCGTGACTGGAACGCTGTGGTGATTGTCATTCTCTTGCATTTCTATTGCTGACCCAAATCACTTCAATGGAAATAACCACAGGTCAGTGCGTTGGAATCCACGAGTGAACAGCAATGCTTCACTTCTATACGTATAAAGTGTACGCAGTCCTCTCCGCATAAAATACGCCGTATTAAGTCAACTGTGCCTACTTGCCTACGACTACACTCACCACCAAATCAACCAACCACAGAAATACACAACACCTCGTGGGAACAGCCCAAGACACCAAAGCTTTCACCCAAGATGTTCGCGTTAAGCATCCGCTCCATCACCAACTCCAGAGTCGTTGGCCCCCTAGCCATCTTCGCCCTCTCCACACAAACCCGCACCCTTTACTTCTGCGGTCCCAAGCAAGGCGATCACGATGCAGACCTACCCATCTCCGAACACTACCACGCCCGTCTACGAGCATCATCGGATCTAAAACCAAGGCCCACCGCAGACTCGGCACCAACCGCTACGCCCACCCGTCCTACCCCTCCTCATCCCACTCAGCCCACCACACCAACAGACACAATCCCCACCCTTCGTATCTCCGTCACGCACGCACCACCACCAAACCTATCAGCCCGGCATACAATGCCGTCTGCCAACAAGCACGAGATCGAGAATTTTAGGAAGGCGTTTGGGCAGATGGAGGCAGCGACTCACGATGTGAACACAGACTACAACAACACCCTTGCCATTATCCAGGAGATTGCAAGGCTGCAGTTTGAGCTGAGGAGGGGCCAGGTTGAGGGGAAGTCTTTTGAGGAGTTGGAGAAGATTAGGGGGGAGATTGAGGATTTGAGGTGTGTGTTTGAGAGGATTGGGAGGAGGTGGGGTATTTAGGCTTCACGTTGACCAAGAAAAGAAATTGAACAGGCCTGCAGCCTACTTTGATATGTAAGCGTACAAAATAGATGACCTAGCGTTGATGTAGGCTCTAGAAATGTTCAGTTTTTTTCTTGTATAAGGTAGCTCAAGGAATGTAGGGCGGTGCTGGAGATTGTGGATATGTGTGGTTCTAATAAAGATTGGTCGTGCAGTAGCTTGAAGGGAGTCTTGAGATCACTACAAAAGTAATATCTGAACAGAAAATGAACGTTCTTCAAAACTAAACCAGAATGCAAAACGATGAGTGGTATACAGCACATTTCCCACCTCCTTCCAACGCAAGAACAACGCCTCTCCAAGCCTCACTGCCTCTCATATCCATGCAGCAATCATACATCCCCCTCACGCCCCATTCTTATACCCCAACCCCCCAGCCTTAACATCAAACTCAATCAACTCATCCAGCCCACAAACCTGAAACAACTCCCTCGGGCCATACCTCTTCCCATCCCCCTCCACACTCTCCACATGCCCCGCCTTCATCTGCTGCACCGCCCTCCTAACCGCGGGATACACAACCTCGCAGGCCAACAGCGGGAAAATAGCAAGTTTATACCCCATGGCCTTGCACTCTTCGACTGAGAAATCAGGGGATACGCCGCCGGGGACGCTGTTGAAGAGACAAGGTGTGGGAGATAGATCCGAGCATATGCGCTGCGCGTCTGAGGCGGTTGTCACGCCTTCTAGGAACGCCATGTCTGCGCCCTGAGCGACTGCCGCACGGAGACGGCGCAGTGCTTCTTCGTACCCGAATCCTTGCAACGCGTCCGTTCGAGCGATGATGACGATATCGCTGCCACTTGCCTCCCGCGCTAATCTCGCAGCCCGGATCCGCGCTTCAAACTCCTCGATGTCGACGAGTTGCTTGCCGTTGAGGTGCCCGCACCGCTTACTCACGATTTGGTCTTCGAGGTGCAGGCCGGCGACGCCCGCGCGGATGTACGAGGTTACTGTGCGGCCGACCATGACGGGCCCGCCGTAGCCGGTGTCTGCGTCGGCGATTAGGGGGGTCGACGGCGAGAGCGAGGCGAGCATGCTGGCGTTGGTGAGCATGTCTGTGAAGGTGGCTATGCCCATGTCGGCGGCGCCGAGGCGGGACATTGTTGTTCCTGCGCCTGTCTGGACATGTGTTAGTTGGGTTGGTTTGGTGTAGTTTGATATCGTGAGGGCGATGTTGGTGGTTATGGAGATGGGGAGATGGGGGAGACGTACCATGTATAGACAGTCTACACCTTCTTGGAGAGCTATCCGCGCTGTGAAGCCATCGTATACTCCGGGACAAGAAAGGAACTTGTTTGGATCCGCCAGCATGCTTCGCAGTTTCTCGACGGCCGTCATCTTCCTTTCTGTTTGGCCTGCTTTGCTGGATCCCATATTGCCTTCTCTTCTTTCGCTTTGATGATGCCGATAACGACGATAACCCGACTCTTTACTGTGTATGCGCAGCCAACTCTTTCTTAATACCAAAAGCAGCAAATTCAATCAATTCAAGGGGTATAGTGTCCTCGTCAGGCATCAAAACGAGCAAGAAGGTACACCCGACAGCCTGACTTTAGCCCGCTGAGACTCGGCGTCTTGCGCATACACTGTGGCGGGCCGCAACAAGTAAGGCTGGGCTACCCACGAATAGTCGACCAGATGCGGAAGCGATGGCCTTACGTACCCGTCCTGCGAACTAGGATGCTGTCAACCCGAAAAGCGACCGCGGATTTGGGAACAGTATCTAATCATTGCCAACCAACCGGACCTAACTCCTACAACCTTTATATAGAAAATCTAATAGCTAACCTCGAAATAAGCATGAAAGGGTAATAAGATAGTAACCACACCACTTCTTTTCAGTTGAGAACGAGGCTACGCCGCAGATAGGCATACCCGGGTGTGCCCTCCTCCCCCGTCTTTCTCGGCCAAGTACTCCGTAGCCATCTGTTTTGATCAAAGATCTTCTTTTTTACGATGGCGAAAGGCGAAAACACTTTCTCGGATGAACATTCAACCAACCCTATAACATGCAAAATAGTGAAAAGTGCACAACCCACAAACGTCATATCCACACCCCTCGAGACGACGCGCAAAACACCAAGCGAAAAGCCGCAGCCGTGGTGGTGACCACCCCCGCAACAAAGCCCTTGTTCCTGCTGCTGACGTAGTGTGGTGCCGATGTTCGCCGGCAGTTTGACCGGTAGGAGCGCCATGCTTGTCCCTCCTCACTGGTCAGACAAGACTGCGAAATTCAGTTTCGCCGATGTCCATGGTCGGCGCGTTGGAGGCGGGAGGCGATATCGTATGAGAGAGGATTGGAAGGATGGAATGCCCCGTTGGGTATGCTGGCCGATGCCGAAGTCTCCTGGGTAGGCGAGCGAGCGCATGGGGGGTTGGTGAGAGGGGTAGACTGGGATTTAAAGTGAGCTGGCGGCCGGCATGGCGGTTGCTTTGGTGTTTTGTGTCGGTTCCTCTTTCCTCCTCCACCTGGGTACACGCCTTTGGATTGTGGTGCACAAGGCGCCGCTAGTGGCCCATCAGGGTCAGGCTGCGCGATCAAGGCACTACAGGTGAGCGCACCCACGTTTTGCTTTTTGCTGCAAGGTTCGTCTTGTACCTGTCGGACTGTCCCCACTGGAAAGAAGACCTTTTATCATCATGTACGCCTTGGTAATCCATCTCCATCGCGTTCGGAGTTCGTTCGGTCAGACCAGCACACCACCCCAGCTCTTTGGCGTCGCGCCTGTTCCCAGGAAGATGCAGCGTGCGTCGAAGCGATCGAAAAATTTGCGCCACCGCGATCCGTTCCTGGACTATCGTCTAGCGGTGTTACCGATCCCGCGATCGCGATCCCGAATCCAGATGTCTACGTTTGGGAGGTCTTCGTAGACCATATGTGGCGTCTGCAATGGACGATCGGGGTAAAGTATATTCCATGGCATTGCGTATCTGAGTAGGTATACGGTATCTGAACGCTTCAACTCCCGCACCAGGCGAGAAACCGCTATTATTACTCTTCCGCCGCGTCCGGTTCATTCCTTCACGCATACCCAACAACACCTAACCGTAGGTGTATCCCATGTTCGGTGCGCCTCCAGGCCCTGGTGCTGTCATCATAGGATTCATAGGACCAACCGGCACATTGGGCATTTCTGCATTCGAGAACTCAAATCCGGCCGCCCAGTCGTAATCAGGAAATTGATCAAGCATTGGCGGCACTCCATAGTCTGGACCTTCCCAGGCATCGAAGCTCATTACTGACGGGTCCTGTTGCATCTGAGGATTCACCAAGCTGGGGTCGAATTTGGTCACTGGGAGTTGTTGTTGCTGTCTCATAGAAGGATCCGGAAGTTGCTGCTGGTGCTGCTGTGGGTGTTGTTGTTGTTGGGATGGGTATTCTGACATGTTTGTTAGTTGAGAGCCCGTCAGACTTGACGTAAGATGCTTACGAGGTGGGTTCTGCTGGACGTTCTCGTGCGAAAGAGTTACTTCGTCGCCGTACGGATTCTTCATGTTGCTGAATTCTTCTCGCCAGTACCAGAACATGTCGTAACTAATGCTCATGCTCAATCGCGTCCTCAGTCTCAGATATAGCGATTCCACACGGCCATCCTTCTTACGGAACACCTTGTCGCTACCCCACAAATCCTTCATGATGTGCGCAGTTCGGAAATGGATATCTCCTGGCTGTAAAGAGACGTTCTTAAGGAAATCATACGCCTGTGAGAAAGCTCGCTCGCCCGCAAGTACATCCAGATGTTGAGCAAGCGGACTTCGAACGAGTCTAAGAATGGTAAATCCAGCCAGAGTAATAGTTCGGTCAATGAACGATTGCGAGACGGAGGGTAGGAAGATCTTTTGTGTCGTCTGCATTGTCGAAGCGGACTGGATAACTGAGATGCAAAGGGAGTAGAATCGTGAAAGACCCTCGGCATCGGGTCCAGGGTTCGTGGGGTGGGCGAAGAAATGGAACGCCATTACGTGGATACGTGCACAGCTGAGTTGCAGGGTATCTATTTCGTTAGTTGAAGTTTCGAAAGAGCCGGGTCAGACTTGCCGAGTTCACTTGGAGAAGATGGGGCCAAGCTGAGGAGTTGCGAGTCGAATATGCCAATCAATGATCGTAATACACGGACATCACAATGAATGGATTGTAAGTTGGTCTTGCCCATGGCAACCATGGCACGCATGAGGATGATGTAGACTTTGTGGAGGAACTGCAGGTCAGACGGGAGGTATGGAACCATGTCTTCACGGTCTTGTTCATCGCCATCGAAGAAAGACTCAGCAAGAGGTGGTATACCTTCAACACAGCTCGTTCTAGATACGGTTAGCGTATGTCACAGTGTTACTTCTTTTGGTGACCTCACCTTATTGAAACGATGACGCAACACAGCCAGAGCCTGGCGCGTTGCACCTTGAGCGACTGGTCCTTCTCAAGCGGTGTCCTAGCAAAATCCTGGCCAACACCTGCTATGTGCAGACCAATCTGTGTTGCTAGATGCACTGCCGATCCACACATGAGGTGTGTCGTATCTTTGTACATTGAGTTGGTGGGTAGTCGCCATGTGCACAGAATTAGTAGACCTTGGATGATCGGAACTTGTGAGGTGCGTAGCGCCATTGAAGAGAACGCGAGCTGGGTGATGGGCTGGCTCGTCCTCTCTAGGACTTCGTGTTCAGAGTACCGCCGCGATCCCGTGACCACGATAGTCCAAAACAAGAACGGCGATTGGTCATAATAGTCATTCGGCCCTATTGAAGGGTCCAAGATAGGAAACAGTGGATGGTATTGGGTGAAGTAACTGCAGTCATGTTAGCATAGATAAGAACGACATCCTGAGTCAACGTACATGGTGAAGCAATCGTCAATTCTCTTTGAATCGAGCAGGTAGCCGTCAATCACACGCGGTACCGTGCCATGATGATCGGAACCTTTTCGCGTCGGCGGCCGCGAGTCGAAAGCTGGTGACATGGAATCTGATGCATCTGTCCTTCCGGAGGGATCAGAATATGTGCCCGAAGCGTGTTCAAGCGGAGCGTAGTTTTGCATGTCGACGGTCGGTGATGCTGTCGATTGCGGGTAGTTTGCATCGCCAGGATTCTGCCCCTGCCTCATATTCCATCGCAACTCTTCCAATTCGCGTCGCATCTCTGCCTTTGTTTGGCGCAGGTTCCTGGTTGACGTGGGAAGAATGCGGCATTCGAGGCCCATCTTCTTGCAGCGGCCGCATGGGTCATGCGGTACCTTGTGCTGCTCGACATCACATCGGATCTGCCAAAGAAATGATCAGTAAACCATCTTCGCCATTGCGGACGTTGTCGCGATGCATTGAGGTGGGGAAGTACCTTTTGCTGTCGGCACTCGACACATGCCTTCCGTCGCGGAGTGGTCATGCTGGCCTGATTCATCTAGTAGGTATCCACAGGGAGTTGGCGAGCGGCAAGCATAGACTACTATAGTATTCCGCGTCTCAATCGGCGAAAAAAGGCATATAAGAAGGTGTAAGGGAGAACTTCGCCATGAACTGAAGAACCACACTCGCGATTAGCACCTACGTCGTCATCAGGGCCTGTTGCAGCGGTGCGAATCGGATGGCGGGGGAATGGGACCGAGTAAAGGACCGATGGTGATCCTTTTCTCAGCAAGCACGTCTCAAAGTTTTTTCTCAGCGTCCCTTGGCTTCTCGCCCTGTGCTAAATGTTTCTCTTAATAATGTGCCATGCTAGACGACGCTCGTGCGCAATGAGGCTAACAGGCTTTGTTGTCTGTGTGGAAGGAATGCATGTCGAGACGCACGCGATTTTCATCGGGACCCACTTTGGCGCCTAAGCCAATGCGGACCTAGTGTTTTGCGTAATGCTGTCTGAGCACTGCACTACTTGCATGGCCGGCCGCCATGTCATGTCGAGTGAACGCATCTCTTACACTGTCACCCAAACAGTCCATCTGTTGGGCACTCAAGCTTTTGTGATCACCGTGGCGCAGCCGTTTTGCCACGCCTAGCTGGGGAGCCAGCCACCGCGGCCCTTCTCTCCGCCGCTGCTCTTCACCATCAACCACCTCACTCTGCCAGCCCTCAAACGTGTTTGGTGGGTCGAGTCAATGCAGTCGTACCTGATCCTCATCTTGGATGACACCCCTTGCCCAGATCGGGCCTAGCAGGCACGAACGTCCCAGTAGCTTCACTCCATGGGCGGGCGCTACCCATCCGGTGTCGACGGCTCAAGTTCGCGTTTAGAGTTCGTACGAAGCCACTTTGCCAGGCATTCGACTCCGGCATTGCACTCGTTGCGCCACATCGAAGCGAATGCGACGTGAGGAGGGTTGTGTGCCATGACAATGCGTCTGTGGCTGCCGCCTGATTCCGCCTCAAAAGCAATGAACGACAGCGGGATTTACTGACTCTAGCACCTTCACACGTGGACTACCGACGCTCATAGCTCTGCCTTGGCCTCCTGCAATTCCCAATGATCGTCCGACACATGATCGCTGTGCGCCGCTTGCTCGGAACGGCAAAGCTGCCTCGCTATCATAACCAGCTCACGACACTCGTCTCGCTGTCCAAAACAGCTCATGCCACTTCACCGACTCCAAGCGCGCACATGGTTCCCCTGGTCCTGGCGAGACTCACCATCCCCACACACACTCCTTCCTTTCTTCCATACCTTCTAGCTCAGGGTCTCTCCGCAAGCCACTTCGCCTTCATAGGTAAGTCGAGCGTCCACCTCCACCAGCTCCGCGGAAGACAGATGCAGCGCAGATCGCAACGGACTTGCAGATCAGCTACACCAAGTAACCTCATCCTACCCATGGCCAATGGGCGTGTGACATCGCTATCTACCGCATATCGCGTACCAACAGCCAGCAGCGCATACAATTGTAAAGGCGGAGCAGGGCGGGGATGCCGGGGAGGATTCTCGGAACAGGATGTATCCATCCTGTCTGCATTAGATTAAGCACAGCCCGTGTGGTGAAGACGCTCGGTCGGGTTTTGCGTCCAAGTCCGCAAACAGAAGTCGTATCGTAGGACTTGCATGTACCTTGCAAGCTGCGACAACTCCAGACTCCGGAGATTTTCTCGTGACGTTGTCTGGCCACGTTCCTTTGCTTGCTTTTTCGAGGCGGAGTAACGGAACTCGGAGCCTCGATCGAACCCACATGGCACAATGTAGGGAACGGTACCGCTTGCTTTTCCCTCAGTTCTGGGCCACTACCTCGCCGTTCCTGGAGCTGTCGCGTGTCTACCGAAGTGAGGGTGTGGGTTAGGTCCCGTCGACCGAGGAGAAACACAGATACCGATAATCTCTCCCGTGGAGTAAGTGGTGCCACGAAACACACTCAGTGTGCAGCTCCTTTCGCTACCACTGAACACACACATCGATTACATCTCGAGACATTTCCAAAGACTCCTGATCCACTGCAGTAGGAGCATTCTGCATGCGAATGCAAATCTCTACACAGCCTCCTCTAGATTGCATCTCGAGGTGCCTCCTACCACGATTATGGCACACGACGTCGCATGGAAATCTCCGCTTGCGCTGTTGTCCGGATGGCTCCATGAATCAGCTGCCAACGTGAGTGTACGTACATGGCGCAAAGAGCGCTTAGCGTACCCGGTGGGTCTACCCTTCAGCACCCAGATACTGCGGAAACAAGAAAACAAGTCCAGAACCACAACATGGTCGGCGTCCAGATAACGCCTCTCACTGCAAGATACTGCGCAGGCAAAGGAGGCAAATCTAGAGCCGAGATATCGACCGTCTCGAATCAACGCCTCTCCCACTGGAATAAGAGTCTAGAACTATCAAGTCGGCGAACGGAAACAGGAATATTGACAGTGTATCTCAAATACAGACCTCGTGATCCCTCAAGCTTTGCCTCCACCCAAGTAACGAGGAGAGGTTCGCTACCAGCAACCACAACGAGGCCACTCAAGACAAGGTATCTTACTGGAATCCGAGTCTAGAGCCACCAGGACGGCGAGGTAAAACATGAACATTAACAGGGTATCTCAAATTGCAGGTTTTAGCACCCTTCAACCTTTGCCTCCACCCAAGTATCGAGGAGACGCTCGCTACCAGCAACACAGCGAAGGACGTATGAACATCGGCGAGGTCTTTCGGAATGCAGACTTCAGCTTCCCTCAACTTTTGCCTCCACCAAGGTCACCAAAGTACGTCTTCGATGACCAGCTCGAACCAAGGCCAGGCCCCAGTCTGGGTCATATGCGCCTTCTCTTCTTCGCCTCCACCACGATGTTGAGGAGAGCCTCGGTACCAGCAACCGAATGAAGCCATTCAAGAAAAGCTGCAAGTATCCAACAAACAGCCGATTGATACAAGGTAAAAGGATGTTCAGGAGGACCCAGAGAAGACATAATTTGTAACCTCACAAGCCAACAACAGAGAAACAATAATCATCGTAACAGATTTGTTCGTCGATATCAATCTACTTCGTCGTAAACGCAAATGCAGTGGTATAAGAATACAGTATAAAAAGAAAAAAGGAAAAGTCGAGCCAACTTCTAACAACAGTAGACATCCAGCAAAAAAATGCGTACCGTTCACCCCTCCCTCGCATCTAGATTTCGTTTAGAGCACCACTCCCATCTTCTCTTCTCATACTCATACTCCTCTCATCTTCTATCTCACAACCACCTTCCTACAACCTAAGACCACGACGCATGCTCCTCGCCTTCGCCGCAGCACCCACATCCTCCGCACCACCATCCGGGTTGGTAACCGCACCAGCGAACCCAACAAGGCTGTTAAACTGATCCGCAAGCGCCTTGTTCCTGTCTCCGCCCTGAACAGCCGCAGCAGCGCTCTCGCAGGTAGCCACAGCAGCGTCGTTGGCTTCGCACACGTTGGTCAGCTGGTTGCAGAGCGCGTTGGTGATGATGTCTGGGTTTAGGGCTTCGCCTTGGCCGCCGCGCGCGAGCGGGTCGGCGATCTGGAAGGTGAATTCGTCGGCG